GGACTACAGGCATGCACCGCCATGCCCGCTAATTTTTTTCTTATATATTAGTTGGCCAATTAATTTTTTCTATTTATAGTAGAGCAGGGTCTCGCTCTTGCTCAGGCTGGTTTCGAACTCCTGACCTTGAGCAATCCGCCCACCTCGGCCTCCCAGAGTGCTAGGATTACAGGGGTGAGCCACTGCGCCCGGCCAACATGACATTATTTGTTTCACATACACCTTATATGTGCAGCCTGAAGGTAATTTCATACAATATTCTTAATAATTTTGTGCATGAAACAAAAAAAAAAATAAATAAATAAATAAGGTTGTGTGTGTATGTATCTCAAGTGTCTTAAATTCCACAAAAGGGAAGAACGGGGAACTATGATGGCCTTTATAAAGGACACCTGAGCAAGTCAAAGAGATAAGAAAGACTTCTGGCTGGGTGCAGTGGCTCACATCTGTAATCCTAGCACTCTGGGAGGCCGAGGTGGGAGGATCGCTTGAGGTCAGGAGTTCGAGACAAGCCTCAGCAAGAGCGAGACCCCGTCTCTACTAAAAATAGATGGAAAATTAGCTGGACAATTAAAAATAGAAAAAATTAGCTGGGCATAGTGGCGCACACCTGCAGTCCAGCTACTCAGGAGGCTAAGGTAGGAGGATTGCTTGAGCCCAGGAGTTTGAGGTTGCTGTGAGCTAGGCTAACGCCACGGCACTCTAGCCAAGGGAACAGAGTAAGACTCTGTCTCAAAAAAAAAAAAAAAAAAAAAAAAAGACAAGACTTCCCTGAAGACTGAAGTCTGATGGATGAGAAGCAGTTAACCAAGCATGGGAAGAAGTCACACCAAGTTCTGTGACCAGAGAGTGCTTCCTTCAATAGAGGAATACAAGAAGGCCAGAATGATGTGTACAAAGGAAAGAGGCAGAGAGTAGGGTGGCATGAGTCCAAAGGAGGGGCAAAAGCCAGATCGTGGAGGACCTTGAACTCTGTAATAAGGAGCCTGGACTTTCTCTCAAGGGCACTAAGGAGCCATCTAGGAGCTCTGAGCAAGGGAGGGACAGAGTCAGCTTTGTTCCTCAGAAAGACCTCACTGGCCCTTCTAAGAAGGAAAGATTGGAGGGAACAGAACTAGAAATAAGAGACCATGGAGGAGGCTGAGGCAGTGACACAGTGGTAAAGGGGGCTGTCTGTACAAATGTCATCTAAGAGGAGAAAGGAATCTTATAAACAAATGCCATTTCGAGCTGGGATCCCAAGAACAAGTAGGAGTTAAATGGGTTTGAGGAAGCATTACAGGCCAAAGCCCTGTGGTGGCAGAAATAGAAAAAAGGCCAGAGAAGTTGTCCCCAGATGAAGTTGAGAGGCCAGACCACAAGGGCCTTCTAGGCCAGGGATGGAGCTTGGTCTTCTCTCCAAAAGCAATTGCAACATCAAACAGGAGAAGGAAGTGGTCAAGTTTCACTTAATAAATATCGATGGCGCTCCTATTATGTGCCAAGCCAAACCTCAAGAGTTGCTGAGCTCTTCTGGGCACAGGGAACATAGCAATAAGTGACAGAGATAATGGTCTGGAGGTGGCCAGTCGTATGTCTGGACTGCTCTGAGTATTACTGAGACTTCCCTACTGCTTGTGAACACCACATTTGCACTCTGAGGCCACCCCCAAACAACACAGTATGCTGTTACAAACAGAACCCCTCAAATTCTTACCAATGATTATGCTCAAGAAATGATTAAAGAATATACTGCTGAGGAAATGGGGCTCTTGTCTTGGCATACTTCCAAGCCCAAATTTTACAAGGATGACCGAGGCTTCACCCTGTGGAGGATCTCCTACCCCCAGCTGTAAAGCCAGGAAGCCAGGTACTCACGATCTTTTCATAGTACTCCCGCCTCCTCTCCGCCCTCTTCTTGTAGTCCACCATCATGCCTCGAAGCTTCCGCTCATGCTTCCGAGCCTCGTGCCACATTGTGGTGAGGCCTAGCCTGGGGCCTCAACCTGAGGGATGAAGGGACCAGAAGTGTCAGGTGGGCTGCAAAAACCACACAGGCAGAATCAAAGTCATCTAACAAGTTGGTGACAGAGCTGATCCTAAACAGTACATCGCTCAGCTTCAGGCAGTGGAAGTATGGCTGCAAAACTGTGAGCCAGATGCTCAAGTGCATCCCTGACAACTCTGACCCAGCAGCTTAGCATTCTGAAAAACTCTTAGGTGATTCTGGGGTGAGCATCCCTGGGAAAGGAGTGTCCTAGATTCCACACGTGAAGTCAGGGATGAAAGTTTTGGAACAAAAGCAGACAGTGTGTAAAGTAAGGTCACAAGGCAAACCTTGAGCAGCTAGGGCTGGAATTCGAGAGAAGGGGAAGAGCTAAAAGGCTCCCACAGAGGGCTATCTGTGGTGGTGGGTATGAGCAGGAGTTGCAGAGGGATAAGGATGAAGGCAGGTGGAGGAAATTTGAGAAAGACATTACGGGAACAGGGCAGTGGTATGGAGGTTGGGGTCGAGGGCAGGTAAAAGGCATGGATGACGATGCTTGAAGGAACACGGTGGGGGTGTTGTAAGGAGAGACCAGAGGGAAGCTGAGGTCTAAAGAAGGGATCTGAATGGGAGAGTGGGGAGACAACATCCAGGTTAAAAAACTACAGCCTGGAGGGAGGCAGAGCTGGCTGATGGGACGGGGTGGGCTGAGTTTGAGGGCAGGGCTTGTGGACAGGGGCGGAGACAGATGGTTTGGACAGGGCTGTGGACCGGGTCGCGGCCAAAGGGTTTAGGCTGCTTTTTTGACAAGGGGGCGGGGCCTGTGACAAGGGGCTGGGCCCAGGCCGAGTCCGACGCGGCGAGTTCGGGCCCACGGCGGGGACAGGGGCGCGGCCTGAAGCCCGTCAGGCGGGGACGGGCGGTCCTCGGGACCAGGGCCCAGCAGAGGCCCACAGCAGCATGGGGAAAGCCTGAGGCAAGGGTGAAGCTGCGCTCACGCCCGCCCGAAAAGCAGGAACTCGGGGCCCGCCGCTTGCACTCACCGGCAGATCGCCGCCTCCCACCGCTGCGCTCGCGCGCGCCCGCACCGGAAGCGGAAATGGGAGGCCGCGCCAAGGGGAAGAGGCGGAGTATGGTGGAGCGCCCAGCAGCGCACTTCCGCCGACGCGGGGGGCGGGGCCTAGAGGAGGCGGGGCCTAGAGGCCGCTGGGCGGAGCCTGGAGACCTTGCTTTGTACCCTACAAAGGGCTGTTTCCCACGCGGAGAAGAGACGAGAACCCCAGGGCTGAAAAACTCGTGTTTATTGGGAACAGTCTGAACAAACCACCCGCCCCCGCTTCAAGTCTGGGGAAGGAAGGCCGGGGATCTGCCCCCACTTCCCATATATACAATCTTTCAGAATCCGGCTGGAGAAGGTGCCCCCAAGTGGGGGCTGAGGCAGCTTTGAGCGAGCGAGTGCACGGGAGCCATGCCCCTTTCCCCCTCCGGACTCAGTTTCCCCATTGGTAATATGGGCTCAAGGGGAAACCCGTGCTACGGAGCTTCTCGCCAGCGCTGAAGATGTCCGATTGAGAAGCACGAGGAGGTCGGAAGACTAACCATAGGGCGGCCCAAGGGGCTGGGGGTGCTGGACATCCTGGTTGGGTTCACACAGCCCCACCACCTCCCTCCCCACCCAGCGCCTCTCCTCCGGTGCCGCGGGGCTACGTGGCTTCAGGTCCCGGGGACAGGAGGCCGCCCCCAAAGGCCGCCTCGCGGTACTGGTTGGGGAACATGTTGCTGCCCACGAGGCTGGCGGTGCCTCCGTCCCCGGGGCCCGGGGCCCGGTACGAGTCCAGCGTCAGCGGCTCAGGGCAGGGGGGCTCCCCGACCGCGGCCTCTGCACCCGCGCTGCCCGCGACAGCGCTGGCGAGTGGCGGCGCCGGGGGCAGCAGGTCCAGCATGGTGAAGAGCGTGGGGGCTGTGGGGTCGTAGGCAAAGCCGTCGTCCAGGAGGTCAGGCCCGCCGGGGGGCTCCAGGCCGGGCAGTGACACGGTACCAGGAAAGAAGTCTGTGTCCGGCAGCAGGGCTGACGGCGGGAGGTATGGGCCTACGGGGATGGGAAGAGAGAAGTGCGGTGCGCTTTAGGGCCAACTTGAATGCCCAGCCCCACACTAAATGCGTTATAGGGCAAAATCCCAGTGGTGAGGGACTATCACCATTCTCCATAAATAAGCATACAGGCACTGAGGGGAAGTAACTGGGAGTCACACACAGCTGTGGAGTGGTGGAACCAAGGTTGAAACCATCCTCCTGCAGGTCTGTGGACAGTTGTCCTCAAAGATGAGAAAGGAAAGGAGGCCCCTAGCCCCCTAAAATATAGAGACAACCCAAAAAGTGAAATTTTGGGAACACTCACTCATTCTATTTTATGGAATGAATTGTTGCCCAATTAAAAAAAAAAAAAGTAAACTCTTCACACCATGGGAGATCCAAGTTGTGAAGTCACCAGTTCCCAAATTGGAAGGTAAAATAAATGTCATGAGAGAGTCTCTCTTCCTCTTTTTGAAATGAGACAAATCTCATCAGCAAAAGCTGATTACACTTGTCTTAGAAAGAGACACAGGGCTACTGGAACTCTTTCCTAGCCTTCCTTGCAGCTCGATGTGGTCAGGTGACTAAGTTCTGCTAACTGGAATGTGGGCATGATGGCTGGAGCTACAACAGCCACCTTGGATCATGAGATGGAAACAAAGAATTGAAAATGGCAGGAGTTGGTGACTTAAGTGTATGTTATAGGAAAGAAAAGAAAAGAAAATAGCAGGAGCTTGGGTTCTGATGATCATGCAGCCCCGAGACCATCCCTGGAACACCTACCTACTTCTGAACTGTGTATGCAAGAGGAAAACTAAAGTTCTAATGAAGCGCCTGTTATTTTGGGTTTTGCTGTGAATGCAGTTAAACGTGATCATAAATACAGGTGGCTTTCCTGATTTCCAGCAAGTTCTTAGTATCTCCTGGGCACTAACTTTGTGCTAACCACTATGATAAATAACCATATGACATGAACTTACTAAATTCTGGAAAGGGCCTTATGAGGTAGGGTTTCCATCTGACAGATGAGTAAACTGAGCCCTGCAGAGGTTACAGAGCTGCGAAATTGTGGACTGAGAATTCAAACCCACTCTGGTTCCAGAGGCCATGCTTGTACCCATGACATTGTAGTGCCACAGCAGCTTTCCCCCAAGAAGGGAGGGGGCTTTAGACATTGGGAAGTTGGGGTGATGGGGTAGACGAGTGGCAGGGAACTTGGGGACTGGAGACCAAAGGTTGGTGGAGTCGGCTGGGATTCATGGTTGCTGGGGCAGAGCTACTGGGCCTTGGTTATCAGTTGCAGGGGAGAGTGGACAAAAGGAACTTCAAACCTCCAGAGTGGGACTGGCTGGAGTGATCCAGGCTCAGGAGACTGAGTCGTTGGTGGCTGGCTGGGAGCCGGGTGCCCTGGGATAGCTGGGGTGTTAGGGGCAGTTCTTGGAGCTGATGGTCAGGGGTGGACAGGCTGCTTCTGATGGCCAGCTAGGGTTGGTGTTTATGGGAATTGTAGGCTGGCATGGGAGTTGAGACGAAGGCAGGAGTAGAACAGGCCAGAGGACAGCTGGCATGGAGACAGCCTCTGAATTTGAGGTTGGCTGGCTCCAACAACCACTGTCATTCATCCACCATCTGTCCCCTGCCACCTGCACCGCACACACAAGCACTCATCTATACAGGTGCCCTGGGCCACCTCCCTGCTCCCACAGGTCCACTGCAGTGTGACCTCAGGCAAGAGACTTCTCTTCTCCGGGCCTCAGTTTCCTCACCCGTAAGACGGGAATGAGTGCCTGCCTCGCAAGTTAAATGAGTAAATGTACACAAAGCACTTAGATGCCTGTCATACAGTTTCTATGAAAAAAAATACATTAAAGTTTAAAAGGCTAATGAGGGCTGGGCATGGTGGCCCACGCCTGTAATCCTAGCACTCTGGGAGGCTGGGGCGGGTGGATCGTTTGAGCTCAGGAGTTTGAGACCAGCCCTAGCAAGAGCCACACCCCGTCTCTACCAAAAATAGAAAAAATTAGCTGGGCATGGCGGCACATGCCTGTAGTCCTAGCTACTCGGGAGGCTGAGGCAGGAGGATCGCTTGAGCCCAGGAATTTGAGGTTGCTGTGGGCTAGGCTGATGCCACGGCACTCTAGCTGGGGCAACAGAGTGAGACTCTTGTCTCAAAAAAATAAATAAGTAAAATAAAAGGCCAATGAGGTACATATGTAGTGAGACGTTTCAAGGAGGCTCTAAGAGGTGGAGCAACTTAGCGAAGGTCACTCAGCCAGTAAATGGCCCAGGGGACATCAAGGCCTCCATTCTGTCTCCAGAGCCCTTATTCTTTCCACTTTCTGTCGCTGGCTCAGTGGTGAGTGACCAGCCTAGTGGGAGCTCCTGGAGAGCCCCAAGAGGTCAGAAAAGCAGGGCTGCGGCTCACCACTGGCCCACCCCAGGGGACAGGGGCTTTCGTGGAGCCAGGACCCACCTGAGCCATGGCTGGGCAGGAAGTGGTCCAGGAAGGCCGGCTTCTTCTTCCGCCGTTTGCTCTCGATGCCATGGGGGTCTGAGGGAAGACAGAGATGAGGACCCCCCAACCCCGACGGCCCTACCGCCCCAGGCTGGGGCCCGACGGCAAGGTAGTGGGGTCAGCCTCCCATCCCCTGAACCTGGGGACAGGTAAGAGGCAGAGGACACACACCAGAGCTGTTCAGCTCCCCGAGAACATCGGGAATCCCCCGTTTCCGCTTCTTGTCCACACCGTAGCTGTCTGTTCAGGACATACCAAGGACATACAATAATAATCATCCATCAGTAATAATAATTAATTAATAACTAATTATAGAGACCATTTAGGGAGGTGTTGAGCTGTTCTGATGCGTGACCAACCAGCGCAAATAGATGTCCACATCCTGGTCAGAGTAAAACCCAAGCTCACTTCCGGCCACGCTGGCCTATCTGTCGTCCCCCAGCGCCCCAGGCACGATCCTGCCTCAGGACCTTTGCATTTGCGGTTCCCACTGTTTCAAACGCTCTCCCTCAACTCCCCCCACTGCCCTGGAGAACTGCTTGGTCATCCTCCTGTCCTCAGCTGTCCCTTCCTCCAGAAAACTTTCCCTGACCCCTAGGGTTGGGTCAGGTACCCCCTTTGGGCAATCTGAGACCCTCAGGTAACTCCGATCCAGCATGCTGCCCACTCTGGTCATCCCTGCGTGGGGAAGGGCTGTCCCCTCCCCCTCCGCAGGACTGCAGGCCCCATAAGGGCAGGGCTAGGGGCTGTCTTGGTCACTGCCATGTCCCCAGTACTACCCAGCATGGGGCCAGGCATGAGCAGGCGTGCTGAGGGGATGAATGGCTGGTACTCCCCCAGTGCCATGGGACTGGTAATATTATTTTCATTTTGCACAGGAAGAGCCTGAGACTCAGAGAGCTGTGGAGGTCACACAGCCAGTAAGCGGCAGAGCTGGGATCCGAACCCCGTCTATGTGGCTCCTTGCCCGCCGTCTACTTGTGCCTCTTCCCCTTCCCCGTCTGGGTCACCCCAAGCAAGGCCAAAATCCTAGTCTCCGGGGCAGCGGGTCACCCTGGATGGCCGTGGTTACCATGGTCCCGAGGCAGGTACGTGAAGGGCAGCGGCTCGCTGCAGACCCCGTCGGTGAGCCGCTGCAGGAAGACGTTGACGGTCACGGGCTCAGCAATCTCCAGGTCCTCGTAGGGTGGCGTCTTAAACACGATGGCAATCTGGCGGTGCACGTCGGCTTGGGAGAAGTCAGCCCGGCCTTCCCAGGAGGGCGTGCTGAACACCACCGATATGTCCTCTGGCAGGACAGTGGGGACGTCAGCTGAGCCAGGACATCTGACCCACTAGGCCCCCAACTTGCTCGGCCTCCCCCCAAAATCGATACTAACATTTCTAAAAATAAAGCATCAGAGTGGCAGCTTTCTGTTGAGCACCTGTTGTGTGCCGGTCATTCAGTGTTTTATATATTTTTATATATTCCAGCCAAGAAAGAAGGTGCCTAGAGCCGAGTCTAGAGGAAAGTGCAAACTTCCAAGAGTCCTTCCCTCTCCCAATGGAGTCACACAGGCCACTCTTTTTTTTTTTGAGACAGAGTCTCGCTTTGTTGCCCAGGCTAGAGTGAGTGCCGTGGCGTCAGCCTAGCTCACAGCAACCTCAAACTCCTGGGCTCAAGCGATCCTCCTGCCTCAGCCTCCTGAGTAGCTGGGACTACAGGCATGCGCCATCATGCCCGGCTGATTTTTTCTAGATATATTAGTTGGCCAATTAGTATCTTTCTATTTATAGTAGAGACAGGGTCTCGCTCTTGCTCAGGCTGGTTTCGAACTCCTGACCTTGAGCGATCCGCCCGCTTCTGCCTCCCAGAGCGCTAGGATTACAGGCGTGAGCCACCGCGCCCGGCAAGAGGCCACTCTTAGTTCCCCCACAAATGCACCATGGCAACACTTGTGAGATGCTGTCCATCGAGGAGGCTCAGTAGAGACTCAGCACTCAGGGTTTTTCCTGGGGGCTGGTCACATAGGCACCTTCTGCCCGGCACATACCAAAATTCCAGACTCCCAGAAGGAAAGCAGGTGTTTAGTACACACTCATTGTACCAACAGTTCAGGCCCCATGAGCCACTCTTCTCAGGGGATGGTGGGAACCCTCCCCAAATCCAAGTTTGTCAGAAACTTTTTATTTTTTAATTTTTTTGCATATCTTTCCAATGAAGTAAGAGGCCTTTTAAAGGATACCAATCTCACTTCTGCTATGTTGACTCTTTTCTACACGCCCACTCTAAAAATGGAGAAACTGGCCGGGCGCGGTGGCTCACGCCTGTAATCTTAGCACTCTGGGAGGCTGAGGCGGGCGGATTGCTCAAGGTCAGGAGTTCCAGACCAGTCTGAGCAAGAGCGAGACCCCATCTCTACTATAAATAGAAAGAAATTAATTGGCCAACTAATATATAGAGACAAAATTAGCCGGGCATGGTGGCGCATGCCTGTAGTCCCAGCTGCTCGGGAGGCTGAGGTAGCAGGATTGCTTGAGCCCAGGAGTTTGAGGTTGCTGTGAGCTAGGCTGACGCCACGACACTCACTCTAGCCTGGGCAACAAAGTGAGACTCTGTCTCAAAAAAAAAAAAAAAATAGAGAAACTGAGGCTTGGAAGTGTGGAGACTTCACACAGTTACTAACAGAATAGTCAGGATTCATTGCTCGGCCTGCTATTTTGTTTTCTTGTCGTATTGCATTGCCTCTCGTCACACTAACTCCAGGTTCAGAAGGCTTATCTGCGTCGGGCACGTACAGATTGCCTCCTAAGTCACACAACAATGCTATGAACCATTAGGTACTCCCATCACATACAGAAGGAAACAAAGGCACAGAGAAGTGAAGTCACTTGTGCAAGGTCACACAGCCAGCAAGTGGTGGAGCCAGGACAAAAATCCAGGAAGGCTAGAGCTCTTTACTACCAGCTCTGCTAGGGCTTGGGGAAGTCACTTGAATCTCTGGGCCCAGTTTCCTTGTTTTAACACAATGAATGTCACAGTACCATCTTGTTAGGGTGCTAGAAAGATTAAATGAGTCAATCCAGGTAAAGGGCTTAGGAGAGGATTTAGCACATATTAGGTGTTCCTGTTAGTATGAGGCAAAGTACTAGCTCTAGGCGTGGCACTCAGAAAGTCTTCAGTAACTGCTAACTCTTTGTAGTAGTACACTTCTTAAGCAGTTGGGATCTCTTCTCATCCTAACAGCAGCCCATTTTAGGGGTGAGGAAACAAAGGCTCAGGGTGGTAAAGTCACCTGCCCAAGACCAGCCAGTGAAGGAATGATGGAACAGGACTCACACTCACCTCTAGTTGTTCGCCTGCACTGCAATGGCTTCCCTGCCCTGTTCCCAGACCTCTACCGATCTCCTCGGCATTCCTCAGATCTCAGCTCAAACAAGATCTTAGATGCTTGGATCATGTCTGGTCTTCCTACTGTTCAACCTCAGGACTTTGTCTTCTCCCCTCTCAGTATTATCCACGTTCATTTTTCTTGTCTCTTTCCCTACTTCCCCCTGGACTAAGAGCCCTGTGAGGGCAGAGCCCCTGCCTGTCTCTGTCACTGAGGTGTCACGGCAGTGCCCAGCACACGGCCTGGCACAGGGGACCTCCAATAACCATTTGCGTGTTCGTTCATTCATCCATTCATGTGTTCACAATTTTACGAGAACCTCCCACCGCCGGGTATACACCCCAAAGAATCGAAGACCGGTGTTCAAATAAAAACTTGCACATGAATGTTCACAATAGCACTATTCGTATCAGCCCAAAAGTGGAAACAAGCCAATGTCCATCAGTGGATGAACAGATAAACAAGCTGTGGTGTCCCCCTACGATGGGCTGTCGCTCAGCCAGGAAAAGGGACCGACCTTGAAATTGTGCTAAACGAAAAGAGGCCAGACACAAAAGGCCACATGATGTATGATTCCATTTGTGAAATGTCCCAAATAGGCAAATCCATAGCAACAGAAAACAGATTAGTGGCTGGCAGGGGCTGAGGGGAGAAGGGGATAGGGAATGACAACTTAATAGGTACAGGGTTTCCTTGCGGGGTGCTGAAAAGTTTCCAGAACTAGAGAATGGTGGTGGCACACCTGTACACTTTATTATTTTTTAATTTATTTTAATTTAATTTAATTAATTTTTTTTGGAGACAGAGTCTCACTCTGTTGCCCAGGCTAGAGTGCCATGGCATCAGCCTAGCTCACAGCAACCTCAAACTCCTGGGCTCGAGTGATCCTTCTGCCTCAGCCTCCCGAGTAGCTGGAACTACAGGCATGCGCCACCATGCCTGGCTAATTTTTTTATATATATATCAGTTGGCCAATTAATTTCTTTCTATTTATAGTAGAGATGGGGTCTCGCTCTTGCTCAGGCTGGTTTTGAACTCCTGACCTTGAGCAATCCGCCCGCCTCGGCCTCCCAGAGAGCTAGGATTACAGGCGTGAGCCACCGCGCCCAGCCAAAATTGTTTTTTTTTTTTTTACCTAAGATCCTCATGTGTACTTAGCTCTGGACCGGGTGGTGCTGGGACACAGCTGTGACCAGGACAGCCCCAGGCTCTGCCAAAGTCACAGCTCACAGTCCAGTGAGGGAGATGGTCACTAACTGTTTAATCACATAACCTAAGAAAGGGTGTGGTGGGAGGAGATCCCTGGGGCAGGGGCACTATTCTCCCACTATTCTCCCCTCTCCCTGCCCTCTTCCCCCATCAGCCTCGCTGTTCCTCCACTAGCCAGACCTGCTCCTGCCCCAGGGCCTTTGCACTTTCTGTTCCTCTACTGGAACACTCTTCCCCAAAGCAGCCACACAGATCCTTCTTGGCTCTGATTATCTCCTGAGGGGGTCCTCTCCGGCCTCCCTAAATAAAATTGTGCCCCCAGACCCCAGCCATTACCCTCTACTCCCCTTCTCAGTGCCATTTTTCTCCTTAGCACTTGTCACCACCAGATATACTTATAAGCTTCACTTCTAGTTCCTGGTTACTGCTGTCTCCCCAACTTGAAAGTGAGTCCTACAGGAGCAGGGTTTCCATCTGTTTTGTTCACTGCTCTGTTCGCTAGTGCCTAGACAAAAATGGGTGCTCAATAAATGTGTTATATAACAAAAGAAGACTCCCTCTGCCATATGGTAGATATATTAATAATAATATTATTATTATTACTACCACCACCATCAACACAACTCTGGAAAGGTGTTTTTTTTCCCAGATGCTTTTCCAAATTTGCCTCTTTCCCTTATTTCAGAAGAAGTCCATAACCATTGAAAACAAATCTTCCCCCCACCAACTTCCTGTCATTTTTTTCCCCCAACTCTCTTTCTTTCATTGTTAATATTTTTTCTCCCAGAAGAAATGATGAAGAGCACAGACAATCTGGATTCACATTCTATCTCTGCATGACCAGCTGTGCGACCTTGAGCAAGTTCCTTAACCTTTCTGCACCTCGGTTTCCCCATCTGTAAAATGGGGATAACAGGCTCTACCTCGTAGAACTTTCAGGCGATCAAACGATCTAAGGACGTGTCCAAAGTGTTCACAACTGAGCGTGGCATATAGTAAGGACAAGATAAGCATTAGCTCTTTAGTATTGGTGGTGGTGAGGTTATTCATGATGCGAATTAAGTGGAGAGAGATTTCTCCTGTCCTCGGTCGGCTTTATCTACAGCCGTTATCACGACAGTCTTAAAGCATTTACTTATGCAATCCCACCACTAATCAGTGTTTCCCAGCTACTGAGCTCTGTGATGGCAGCACCCAGCCCCCAGCACAGGCCAGCACACACAGGCCCCCATCTTTGTGCGGGGACAAGTGAGTGGGTATCAGTTGTGTCTCTCTGACTCCAAAGCCAGAGTTCTGGATCCTTCTGCTCCTGTCCTGGTTAACCAGCTCTTCCTCACCCTTCCAACCTCCTGACTCCCTGGCTGCCCCTCCGAGCCACCAGACCCCACTCTGCCCCGGCCCCTCACCTTTCTGCACCTTGTCACATAGCAAGTAGAGCTCCTCGCCGCCCGTGCACGGCCCACTCTCCTTGTTGATTCGGCAAATCCGCAGCTCTGACGTGTTTGTGGACTCTGGGAAGGAGCGAGAGAAGAGGTATGAAAGAAGAAATGAGAATTCAGTCACCAGATCTTTATCAGCAGCCAGTGGGCGCCCACCCCGGGCTACGGAGAGGTGGGGAATGCAGAAGGTAGGGCACCCAATCTTCCTGGAACCTATGGGTCAGGTGGAGAAAGACGACACTCAGAACGGAGGGCCAATAGACAATGGCCACTGCCCATCCCACGCCTTGAATGCTGACATGATGACTGGAGCTGTGGCAGCCAGTTTGTGACCATGAGGGAAAGATCAAGAGGATCACAGAGGTTCAGAACCAGTGCCCACATCTTGCTGAGCAGCTGAATCAACACGAGTAGACTTAACAAGTGAGACAAATAAAAATAAATGAAGCCCTGTTTGTTCAGGGATCGTAAGGGAGAATTTCTGATACCTGTAGCCAAGGACAATCCTAACGGACACAGCACTCTCAACTCACTTTTGTCGTAGACGGGCTCGGAGAGCACGGGGTCCATCCGGCACATCTGTCCCTGCTGGTCCCGATAGGAGGCCTGGAAGCAGATCCTCACAACGTTCATGTCCACCTCCTGATGGTTCTTCAGGGACCCGGCTGTGGGGGGAGATTGGAAAGGCTGAGGGCCGGGGGGTACGGACCCTGTGGGGGGGGTAGGGGAACAGGGAAGGGATGAGTCTGGAGGAGACCTGTGGCCTGGAGAGGCGGGGGACTGGGGTGGGCTGAGCGGGCTGGGGGCTCGGGAGGACGGGCACAGGCTCACCATTGTAGGGATCGATGCCCAGCTGAATCTTCCGCTCAATGGCGGCCTCGATCTCCTTCTTCCTCACACACTGGATGCCCAGGTTGTTAAAGCTGAGTTAGGGGAGGAGTGCTCATGAGGGGACAGGTGTGGCCCCAACCTGCAGAGGGCTCTGGCGGATGCTGCTGCGGGACTCGGGCTCTCAAGGTCTGAGACGCCCCAGGCCCAGGGTCCCCAGTCTTAGAAAGGGTGTGAGGTTTAAAGGCCTCATGGGCGTCAAGGATTTGCGAGGAGACCTGGGAACACTCCACTTTGCCACACGAGAACACCAGCCAACCTCATTCATAATAAGATAACTGCAAATGAAACACCAATGAGATGCCTTTTTTATGGCACTCATCAAAATAGCAAAGATCAAAATGTTAAGACTGCAAGTGCTGCAAAGAGTAGAAGAATAAAAAAAAATTTTTTTTTAAAGCACAAAATGTGTCATAATGCCCAGTGCTGGTGAGGTTGTGTGGGGTCAGGCACTCTCGCTCACTGCTGGTGGGACTATAAATGACATAACAAGGCAGTACTCATTCATTCCACAAATATTTCCTGAGCACCTGCCATGTGCCGGGCACTGTGCTAGGTGCTGAAGCTATAGTAGGGAATGAGAGAGACAAAATCCCTGCTCACATGGAGCTGACATTTTCACTGAATTTATGAATCACTAAAATTATAAATGTATAGGCTTGGATGTAGCAATTTCATTTCTAGGAATTTATCCTAGAAATTATATATATATATATATATATATATATATATATATATATATATATATAAAGCAATTCATTATAGCACTGTTTGTCAAAGAACAACAAGAGATTGGAACTATTATAAGTACCCAATAATAGAGGACTTAATTAATTGTGTACATCACCACATTGGAATATTATACAGCCAATAAAAAGGATAGGGCAGCTCTGAATGTATGATAGGGACTGATCTCTAAGATGTACTGTAATATAAGAAAACATTGCAAATGTCTGCTACTATTTATAAGGGGAGGAAGAAAAATATATATATATATATACATTTGCTTATATGTACAAAACATATCTTTAGCTGTTTCCAGGAAAATGCACTGGTCGCTGGAGGACCAAAGATGGAAGAAAATTTATTTTTCACTGTACATCCTTTCTGAACCTTTTGATTTTTATTTATTAAAAATACATAACTAGCCGGGCGCGGTGGCTCACGCCTGTAATCCTAGCACTTTGGGAGGCCGAGGCAGGCGGATTGCTCAAGGTCAGGAGTTCGAAACCAGCCTGAGCGAGACCCCGTCTCTACCAAAAATAGAAATAAATTAATTGACCAACTAAAAATATATATAGAAAAAATTAGCCGGGCATGGTGGCGCATGCCTGTAGTCCCAGCTACTTGGGAGGCTGAGGCAGGAGGATTGCTTGAGCCCCGGAGATTGAGGTTGCTGTGAGCGAGGCTGACGCCACGGCACTCACTCTAGCCTGGGCAACAAAGCAAGACTCTGTCTCAAAAAAAAAAAAGAAAAAAAAATACATAACTCGCAAAGTGAGAGAAAGAGCAGGCCTTGCAGTTAAGTCAGGTCTGGAGTCAAACTCCAGCTCTGCCATCATCTGTGCTCCTTACCCCTTCAAGCCTCAGTTTCCTCTTCTACAAAAAGGAGCAAAACGGGACGTGTGTGAGTGTGTGTGTGGCAGAGCTCCAGGCCTAGGTGTGGCCCTCCTCTGCCCCCAGGCCTCAGTTTCCCCATCTAGGAGATGCAGGGGGGAGGTGTGGCTAAGCTGGCCCTGTCCTGAGGTTTCCCTGAGTGATCTCTCTTCAGCCCCAGGGGGAGGGGGAGGGGGAGGGGAGGGTGGGGTGGGGGCGGGGCGGGTACCTGTGCCGGGGGCTGACGTGGGGCCGGAGCCGCACCCTGCAGACGCCGTCTGTGCAGTCCTTCCCCACGAGGCTGTGGGGGTGGACCCGGTGAGGCCAGTCCTTCCACACCAGGCACGCGGTCACCTCCACCTCCCGCAGCCCTCCGCAATCCCGGAGCTGCGGGAAGACAGGTGCTCTTGGGGGGGGGGGTCCCATCCTAGACACCCGCACCCATCCAAACTCCCAGGCCGCTCTTGGTCCCTCCCCAACCCTCTCCCCACGCCCCCGCCAGGATGATGGCAGAGTGTTTGCCGAAGACCCCTCTGGTATCCTAAGCCGGGAACTTCCCACTGGTGGCCTGAAAGGCTTCATAACATGGTATCTGTCCCCCAGATGCGCTTTCTTTGGCCACTCAGACTTTTTTAAAAACTCTGGATGCACACAGGGTCTCCAAGTGTCGCCCACAGGTAACTTACTAATCACAAAGGAGGAAAGGCACTTGACAGCGAGAGACCCAGTGGACGTCACCTCAACCAGGTGATTGAGCTCAGCTGCACCAATATTAGGACAAAATGACTCGGTGACCCCCAATGGGACCCACTGGGAAGCACACAACACCCCCTCTGTGACAGTCCTCATGCGCACCACCTCAATCTAATCTCAAAGAAACGTGACACAAGCCCAAATGGAGAGTCACCATGTCAAAATTTTAGTGTTGTGTCCAGCCTGAGCAAGAGTGAGACCCTGTCTCTACTAAAAATAGAAAGAAATTATCTGAACAACTAAAACTATATAGAGAAAAAATTAGCCGGGCATGGTGGCGCATGCCTGTAGTCCCAGCTACTCGGGAGGCTGAGGCAGGAGGATGCTTGAGCCAGGAGTTTGAGGTTGCTGTGAGCTAGCTGACGCCACGGCACTCACTCTAGCCTGGGCAAAACAGTGAGACTCTGTCTCAAAAAACAAAAACAAATTTTAGTGTTGTGAAAGACAATAAAATGCTGGTATCACATTTGGGGTTAAAAGGAGTGAACAATGTATTTGTTTTTTGAGACAGAGTCTCGCTCTGTTGCCCGGGCTGGAGTGCCGTGGCATCAGCCTAGCTCACAGCAACCTCAAACTACTGTGCTCAGGGGATCCTCCTACCTCAGCCTCCGGAGTAGCTGGGACTACAGGCACGCACCACCATGCCCGGCATAATTTTTCTATATATTTTTAGTTGGCCAATTAATTTCTTTCTATTTTTAGTAGAGACGGGGTCTCGCTCTTGCTCAGGCTGGTTTTGAACTCCTGACCTTGAGAGATCCGCCCACCTCGGCCTCCCAGAGTGCGTGAGCCACCATGCCTAGCAGAATAATGTATTTTGACATGAGTGTTAGGGTACACATATGTAAAAATTCATAGATTTGATCAATTATAACTCAGTTTAAAAATAAAAAGGTTCTCACTAACGTTGACTCAAAAGAAAACAATAAAAAAAAAATTTTTTTAAAATAAATAAATAAAAATAAAAAGGCTGAGCAAGGTGGCTCACGCCTGCAATCCCAGTGCTGTATGATGTCGAAATGAGAGAATTGCTTGAGCCAGGGAAGTTGAGGTAACAGTGAGTTATGATCAGGCCACTGCACTCCAGCCTGGGTGACAGAACAAGACTCTGTCTCTAAAAATTAAATTAAATTAATTTTTTTTAAAAAGGAGAGGGAGAGAGACTAACAAGATACGACAACCAAATGCAACATGATCCTTGTTCAGATCCTGGATTCAGTGGGAAGAAACAGCTATGAAACACATTTTGGGGACAACTGGGAAATTTAAATATGGACTATATATTAGATGATATTATTAAATTATTGTTAATTTTCTAGTGTCAAAATGTCAACTGGTGAACATAGGTGAAAAATACAGAGGTGCTCCCTGTATTATTAACTTTTCTGTACCTTTAAATTTTTTCCATCCAAACTGCAAGTGTATGCATTAAGTATGTGTAATTTTTTTGTATATCAGTTATACGTCAATAAAACTTTTTTTAAAACTGGAGGGGGGAAAAAAACTTTTGAAAAAAATTTTTTCAAACTAAAAGGCCAGGAAAAATTTGGAGCACACCATTAAAAATTACAAGACAACGTTATTCCAGATTTCCAAATTCTCTTTTTTTAAAAAAGGAAGGTATAGCAACCAAGATCAGAATTCTTACTCCTGGTGGACAGAAACCAGCCCCTTTAGATGGGGCCACATCCACTTGGTCACTTGGCTTTTCTGGGTCACCAGCTGGACCCTGCTGGCATGGAAGACCCTTTAAACCTGCTCTGAACTTCTAAAGTCCAAGCCTATAAAATACAATTAACTTGGCCAGGCGCGGCGGTGTGCACCTGTAGTCCCACCTACCAGGGAGGCTGAGGAAGGAGGATCCCTTGAGCCTAGGAATTTGAAGTCGCAGTGAGGCCATGATGACGCCACGCCTGGGCGACAGAGCGAGACTCAGTCTCAAAAAAAAAAAAACAAAAAACCAAAAAAACAAAAACAACTAACCAATGAGTCTCAAGTGGGGGATTGCTGCCCCCTAGGGGGAGAATGGGATATCGCAGGTGACTTTGGTTAACACTGTAACGAGGACCGTTTTACATAAATAGTATTTTTCTGTTTTTCCCTATAATTTTAATATTCATTGCAATTTCAAAGACTGCAACTACGTTAATTGGCAGAAGACTGTATTTTGTTTAGTCCGAGAGTTGTTCATCACTTTGAAAATCCCCTCATCAACAGCAACCCCGAACAAGTGGCATTTAAGTCACCAAGGCCACGTGGTGGGTGTGGCCACACTCTGCAGCCGCTGCATTCAAGAGTAGGCTACAGCCAGGCGCGGTGGCTCACGCCTGTAATCCTAGCACTCTGGGAGGCCGAGGCCGGTGGATTGCTGGAGGTCAGGAGTTCGAAACCAACCTGAGCAAGAGCGAGACCACGTCTCTACTATAAATAGAAAGAAATTAATTGGCCAACTAATACATATAGAAAAAATTAGCCAGGCATGGTGGCACATGCTGATGCCGCGGCACTCACTCTAGCCTGGGCAACAGAGTGAGACTCTGTCTCAAAAAAAAAAAAAAAGAGTAGGCTACATATAGTCGTAAACAGCTGCTATATTCATTATGCATCCTGTGCTCAGTATTTACATATTGAAATAAGTGTGCTGGCCAGCACCGTGGTTCACGCCTGTAATCCTTGCACTCTGGGAGGCCGAGGTGGGCGGATCGCTCAAGGTCAGGAGTTTGAAACTGCCAGAGCAACAGAGAGACCCCGTCTCTACTAAATATAGAAAGAAATTAATTGGCCAAATAAAAAACATATATAGAAAAATTAGCTGGGCATGGTGGTGCATGCCTATAGTCCCAGCTACTCAGGAGGCTGAGGCAGGAGGATCGCTTGAGCCCAGGAGTTTGAGGTTGCTGTGAGCTAGGCAGATGCCACGGCACTCTAGCCTGCGCAACAAAGTGAGACTCTGTCTCAAAAAAAAAAAAAAAAAAAAAAAGAAGATTCACATTTTTTTTTTTGAGACAGAGTCTCACTGTTTTGCCCAGGCTAGGGTGAGTGCCGTGGCGTCAGCCTAGCTTACAGCAACCTCAAACTCCTGGGCTCAAACGATCCTCCTGCCTCAGCCTCCCGAGTAGCTGGGACTACAGGCATGCGCCACCATGCCCGGCTAATTTTTTCTATATGTATTAGTTGGCCAATTAATTTCTTTCTATTTTTATAGTAGAGACGGGGTCTCACTCTTGCTCAGGCTGGTTTCGAACTCCTGACCTCGAGCAATCCTCCAGCCTCAGCCTTTCAGAGTGCTAGGATTACAGGCGTGAGCCACCGTGCCCGGCCTGTGCCTCCATTTTTTTATTATTATTAATATATCTTGATGATACTTCCACATCAATACCTAGGGAACACCTTCATTTCTAAATTTTTCTGTATTGACCAGTCCATATTTATATTTATCTGCACACATACACATACACGGATGTATCTGTTATAGCTGTGCAGGACTTGATATGTACATGGTCATAGTTTATATCACCAATTCCCTACTAACATTGAATTTCTAATTCTTGGCTATGTAAATAAGGCTGCAATGGATAACCCTATACCTCCCTCTTTTCACTCAGCAGTAGACATATATATACGTGATAAATTCCTAGAAGGGGAGTGGCTGGGCCTAAGAGAAATCGTAATGATGATAATAATAACACCAATAATATCAGCAGCTCATCTCTACTTACCATGTAAGAGGCCCTTGGCATGTATAATTAACTCAGAGTCCTCCCCACAATCCCATGTGGTTGGTTATTATTACCATCCCATTTAGCAGAGGAGAAAACTGAGGCACAGAGAGACTGAGTAACCTGCCCGAGGCTGCACAGCTGGTAAAATGGCAGAAGCGGATTCAAACCCAGGCACTCTGATTCTTAAGGCCTCGCTTGTAAACCAAGAGGCCGCAGTGCTTTTATGAGCAATAACGATTTTGCTAGATACTGCCGAATCGCCAGGAAGAAGGCTTTTCCCTGGATGCCCCTTAGAAGCTTTTGGATTCAGAGCTAAGTGATGGTACCGCCCAGTCCAACGACAGCAACGGCAATAATAATAACCACCATCCAACGCGGGGATAAATAAACGCATGCACTCGATGGCTGGGCGCGGGCCGGGCCCCACCTCGATGGCGGGCAGCGTCTTGCTGGCCTCGGTGCTGCTCTCCCCCAGGATGCTGCCGGCCGAGCGGCCCTCGCACTCGTAGCGGAAGCGCATGCCGCGCTGCTTGGGCTGCTCGGCGATGACCAGGTGCGGCCGCGGGCCGGGGCCGGGCGCGGGGGGCGCGGGGGGGCGCGAGCTGGCCCAGCGGGCAGCCCCAGGGCGGCGTGGCGGGGGGCGCGGGCGCCGCGGGGCCAGGGACCAGGTGCTCCGCACCCGCCCCGCGGGGCACCAGGCGCGGGAAGCCCTCGCCCGGGCCCGGCTGCGCCCCCTCCAGGCCGAAGCCGTTCTCCTTGATGTACTCGTCGATGATCTCTGCGGGAGAAGCAGAGACCCCAGGTGACCCGGCTGTCAAAGCAAAGGCGGGATTGCCCCCAAGACCCTTCCCATCCCATTCATTTCCGGCGGGCGGGGCGAAGGGGCCTCAGCTCCCAACACACAACAAAGCCCCTGTCCTTGTCGGGGCCAACAGCCGGGGCACCCCAAGTCCCTGAAGCCAGAAACCTGGGGGTCCGCCTGGTTCCTTCTTCTCCTCAACCCCCCACATCCACTCGCCTCCCTAATACTCCTGAACCACCCACTCCACCGCCTCTCACCTGGACAGAGGAAAGGGCCAACTAACAGGTGCCCTGCCTGCGTCTTGCCAGGTTAATGACAAGAAGGAGAGCTGCTCTGCCCAGCCGTGCTCGCATCAGCAAGCGGCTACCAGCCACCCACACCGGAAGGGGCTTTTTTAATTAATCATGATCCCATGTCTGCTATGTCCGATCCATTAAGTTCTTCCACCTCTATGCCTCTACTTCAAACATATATTTGCTTTTCCACCACTTCTCCCTACCCCTCTCGGCCACCCTGGTCCACCCTCCATCCTCTCCCATCTGGACCACTGCCGTGGCCAGCTCACTTCTCCGTTACTGTCCCCTTGTCCCACTCAGTCTGTCCCTCACCTGCAGCCAGACAGATTTTCTGTCTGAGTCTGTCCCTCCTCCGCTCAGAAGCCTCCCATGGCTCCCACCTGCCCTTAGAGTCTAAATCAACACCCTCCCCACATTAAAACCTTCTGAAAACTCCATTCATCCCAGAAAACCAAAACCCAGCTAAAACCCCATAGGCCTCACCCTGGTCACGAGCCTTGTGGGAAAAGGCCCCTGCTGTCCTGGGCTTCGCCAACGCCTGCCACCCTTCTCACCCTGCTCTGGCCTCTCTTCTGTCTCTTGCACCCACCAAGCCTGGTCTTCTTCAGGGTCTTGAACTTGCTCCTCCACCTGCCTTTTCCACACCTTTCCCCATTCTATCCGTGCTGGCTCCTTCTCGTCCTTCTGGTCTCGGCTCAAATATCATCTCTTCAGGAAGGCCCGAGCTATGTGTGCTCGCCAGGCCATCTCTCCCTCTTCCTGTTTATTTCCTTCACGGCTCTTAGTCTGATCTAACACGATCTCATTCATTTATTCATTTGCCTCTGTCTCCCCTACTCAACTATCAGCTGGGTCCGCAGTGCCTAGCACAGTGCCTGGCAGTCAGTAGGGGCCCTGTAACACTCACTGAATGAATGAATGACAACAGTAGCAGTAATAGTGACATTAAAGGCAGCTAACATATGCTGAGTGTTTTCCCAGTGTCAAGCATGGCTAAGTACCTTGGGAGCACGACTTCGTTCAAAGCCCCATATGGTCCTGGGAGGCATACCGTGATGCCCCTCCCCCACTGAACAAGGAAGGCCAAGACCCCACCTCTGTGAGCACCTGGACCCCTCAGCCTCCCTGCAAACCTGCCTCGTGGTACTCACCCAGTTCATCTGTGGAAGGAAGAGAAAGAGAAAGGTGAGGTCGAGAAAGTGGTTAAGACTTTTTCATCTTTTAAGAGATTCCCCAACCCTGTCCCTCCTGTGACCCTGTCCCCTTCCTCCATCCTGGGAAACCCTGGGCTCTGGCTCCTGGGACGCCAACCCCAACCCCCATCATCCCCCCCTTCAGCTCCTGATGCTAGGGTTCTAGCATCAGGGTGTCCTCAAGCTAAGCCAAGTGTCTCCCAAAAAGCATTTAGACCAGGGATTGTGAAGTCTTGTTGAGAATCTGGAAAAGCAAAGTGTCTTCCCTCCCTAAAGCCCATCTAGGCCCCTGGAGGTCTCTGGCAGGTGTCTGAAGATCCAAGGAGGCTGATCTGAATCCCAAGAGACACCTGCTGTGCATCCTGGCCCAGTCCCCCAGCACCCACCTGACACCTGATTCACCCCTGCTTCCTGAGGGAGGCCCCTTTTCACCTCCCCAGCAAAGCTCAGCTCCGAAAGGGGCCGGGAGGAATGGAAACCAACCTCCCGTCATTCCACAGACAGGACGAGGGGAAGCCCAGAGGCCGCAAGCCTTGGGACCCCGCAGCAAGGGAGGGCGGGCCGGAGCCAGGTGCCCCACCCAGGCCGCTGGCTGTAGATTTCTGCCCAGCGCAGGCCAGCCCGGCTGCTGCTAGATCTGTCCTTCTCCTCCGCTCTGGGAGTGGCTCCTGGCAGCCAGACCTTTGCCCCTTCGGAGGCAGTCTTCCTGTACCCCTTATCTTGTGTGATAGCCGAAGTAAGTATGGTGCCAGGGTCCCCACTGGGCAGATGGGGATACTGAGGCTGGGAGAGGGTAAAGGATGTGTCCTACATCCCTGGCAGGGCTGACCTCAAGTCGCCTCAACTTGGAAAATGCTTCTTAGAATAAACTGTGCTGGATAAACCTGAGGACCAAAAGACAAGTTAAGACTCTGGGCCTCAAGGAAGTTCCCGGGCTGCAGGGGGAGACTGAGTCCCAGGTGGCACTGGCTGGAGCTTTGGATTAATGGCCTCAGTTCAAATCCTGGCTCTGCTACTTGCTAGCTGTGTGGCCTTGAGCCCAGTGCTTAACCTCTTTGTGCCTTGGTTCCTTCATCTATAAAACAGGCACAATAATAATCCCTACCTCATTGGGCTTAAATTATTTATTTTTATTTTATTTTATTTATTTATATTTTTAAGAGACAGGGTCTCACTCTGTCACCCAGGCATGGGTACAGTAGCATGATCATAGCTCACTGTAACCCTAAACTCCCGGGCTCAAGCAAACACCATGCCTGGCTAGTTCTTTTTATTTTTTGTAGAGTTGGGGTCTTGCTATGTTGCCTAGGCTGGTCTCGAACTCCTGGACTCAAATGATCCTTCTGCCCAGGCTTCCCAAAGAGCTGGGATTACAGGGGTGAAACACCACACCCAAGCAGGCTTAAATAATTAAAAAAATTAAAAAATACATCGGAAGCATTTAGAACTGCCTCATACTAATACCAATGCTGGCTGCTACTGGACAAGATGTTAGAAAACATTGTTTCATGGGCTTGGATAAATCCCTTCCCCTCTCGAGATCTTCGCTTTTTATGTGACATGGGGAAGTTGGAAGGCATGGTTTAAGAACATGGGGTGTAGAGTCACACAAAGTTGGTTTGAATCCCAACTATCATTCACTGGCTGTGTGGCCTTGGGCAAGTCACTTAACCTCTCTGAGCCTCTTCTATAAAATGAGGTCTGAGCTCCTACCTCAGGGGCTAACATGAGGATTCAGGATGACACAGGTAAACTGCTTAGCACAGGATCTGACCACTCTACAACCTCCATAAAGCTTAGCTAATATTATTATTATCTAAAGTCCTCTTTCAGCCAGGAAGTGTTGGGAACTTCCTTTCTTTATTCAATGCTCTGTTCAAATAACAGCTTCCCAACCTCCTGCACAGACTTGCCACCACTCGGGGACAGCCAGGATGGATCACGTGAGAGCAGATATGGATGGAACAGCAAACCAGCTATGCATGTGCTGCCTCAGGGCCTTTGCACAATCTGGTCTCTGCCTAATGCTCTTCACCCAGTTCTTTGCATGGTCTCCTCCTCCTCCTTCTTTAGGTCCTCGGTCAAATATCATGTCCTAGACGGACCTACCCTGACCACTTTACCCAAAATAGTTCCCAGGCCCCCTACTCCAGTCCTTTGAAGTTAGGTCCCTTTGTTAATGTGTATATATAACTCTCAACTCTACCACTGTGCCAAAAACAGCCAAACAGTCACATAAATAATGAGTACGGCCTAACAAGTAAATGTTTCAGTAACAACATTTCATCGGGTATCTAACCATGATTTTATATAATTCTTATGAACACAATAGGCGGCAACTGGTGACTCACCGCTGTAATGCCTAGCACTCTGGAGGCGAGGTGGGCGGATCGCTCGCGGTCAAGCGGATTTGAAACAGCCTGAGCAACGAGCCAAACCTCTGTCCTCGTACCTATATAGATATCGAAACGAAACTCTAGATTGGCCAACTAATATCCATATCCTAGTAGGAGAAAAATTAGCTGGGCAGTGTGCGTGCATGCTGTAGTCCCAGCTACTCGGGAGGCTGAGCAGCAGGAGGATCGCTTGAGCCGCAGGGAGTTGGAGGTTGCTGGTAGTAGGCTCGGACTCCACGCGCCCTCCACTCTTAGGCCTA